ACCTGTAGTCCCAGCTACTCAGGAGGCTGAGGCAGGAGAATTGCTTGAACAAAGGAGGTGGAGGTTGCAGTGAGCCGAGATCGCACCATTGCACTCCAGCCTGGTGACAGTGCGAGACTCTGTCTCAAAAAAAAAAAAAAAAAAAAAAAAAGTCTTTTATTCTTTGGAATATAAAGTAACTTAACAGGTAAATATTTGCCTCTGGAATTCTGAATACAAAATCTGGGAGAAGGCAGAGTAATCATGGCCATGGAAAAACACCAAAATGTGGGTTCCTTTCAATCACATCTGAATCAGGGCCATAACCATCATACCAGTTAGCCTATGGAAAGCTAAAGCTATCTGGGTCAATGATTCCTAAGCCCACCCTTTCCATAGTTGTCTACTGCCCTAAATGTGTCAATCACAGCACATGCCCTGCCAAGAAGCCCTTCCAGGAGATTGCTCTGCTCCAGTCTTTGCAGAGGGGAACACTTAGGCAGCCATGCTTTGTGGCAAGTGATCCTGAACATCCATGATGAGCCACAGGTGATTGGACCAGCACCAGGTACAAGGCCCAAGGGCAGCTTATCTATAGGTTGGTCTTCAGCCTCTGCTGTGGCCTGGACCAAAGCTCTGCCCCAATGAGATGATGGATAATGGCTATAGAAATGGGAATCCGTCTCTACGGAAATTTGGAACTGGAGATAGGGCAAAATTAAGGCAATTATGAGTCACAATAGAAGCTGAAGTGATGCATGGAGAGAAGCCAAACCATTAGGAGACAAAGCAAGCAACAAATATAAGGGGACAGGAAGTACAATTAGGAGAGAGCTATGAAAAGGACAAAAGATTCACAGTGAAGAAAATGGGCAGCAGGAGGAAGACAAGAAGAGAGAAAACAAATAGACATACATTGTGAGCAGCTGCTTTATATTCACACCAGAACACAGGCATCAACATCCATTTGCTTTTGCTGCTCTGGCTCCCAGGCTGCCCTGAGTCAAGGCACTGCTTCCCACAGTCTGGTCTAGCTGATCAGTTTATTCTGGGTTCCCATTCCTTTAAGCCTACGATTCACAGCTCCTTACTTACAGTAACTTGAGCTGCTCTCTCTTCCTTACAACTAAAAACACTCTACCTAAACCACCAATATCAATCAATAATGAGGTGAAGAGAATGCTGAATGCTGATTATTGTTCACGCTGAGTGATGGGTGCAGAGAGGGTCCCTATTCAAGTGGTCTCAGGCAGCTCCACACATACTGACTCTAACATAATTCACTTTATCTATGTTTGGAAATTTTCATAGTAAAAAGTTTAAAAAGACAAGGAATATAACAAAGAGAATGTGCAGCATGTAGACTCTAAGTGACTAGGAAACAGAATCATTACCCAAGGAGGCCATGCTGTGGTCATTTTCTGGCATCACGTTCTAGTGCATTGCTCTCTGGCTGAGTGCGGGACATTTCATTTCTTCTGAGTATAGTCCACAAACAGGTCCTCAAACACCACAGTATCCTGGAACGACAAGCTCCAATCACTCAAGAACATTCACAGCCTGAAGGGAAGAGTCATCAGGCACAGAGAGGGCACAGAGTATGGGCTCTTTATGGGCAAAAGTGTGGGAGAGAGGAGCTGAGATGATACCTCAAAAAGCACAAGTCCAGGGCAAGACAGAATCCATTACCTTCAGGGAAGCAATGAGGCAGGAGAGACACGGGAACAGTCTTAGATGGGGCAGAGTCCTGGTGGTGAGACCTCTAGCCATTCCCGGACCAGAGTCTTGGGGATGTGGTAAAAACACAAAGAACCAAGCTCACCTGGGGCCTGACCATCCGAAGTACAGTTGCCCCTGCTTGGTCTCCTGAGTTTCCCACTTGAGGAAGGGTAGGAACTGGAGAAGCAGGTTGAGCTGAGGGAGGAAAGAAAGCTATGAGTGGGACAAGCCCTGCTTGTGGCTCCCATAAGATTTATGTTCCCAATAAGAACCCAGGCACCTCACACACACTGACTCTTACCATCTTCCATCATAAGCCCTTATCCCAAGTGTGCTGTGAATTTGCCCTGGAGGGCATAGTACAAGGTCCCAGGTCAAGTTGAGAACTGGGTGTTCCTCCAAGTCCCCACTCTCTTCAACCTTTTTCAAGGAAGCTATTCTGGCCACACTCTCTCCCATGGCTTCTCTAGCACCAGCCAGCCCTGATTTTCCCCTCACAGCTGTGGTTCCTCATGCCCTGGTTCCTTCCTGCTCCTGTACTCTCATTACGGACACTCCTTGCAACTCAGGCCCCAGTGCTTCCTTGTTCTTTCCGTCAGCAATCTCACCAACTCTCATCACTTTAATCCTGCTCTCACAGTTCTTACTTCTCTCCCAGACCCCTACCACACGCTTCCTGCTGTCTATGGGATGTTTCACTTGGGTGTCCTGTAACACCTTAAGTTCAGCGTTTAAAATGTATGTTCTTACTATCTTCCTCTCTGGATTTCCCAAGTTATATCAATGAGTTCACACATTGGCCAAAACATTTTAATTCTGTCTTCTTCAAACACAAGTCCTATGAATATTCCCAACACTGATCTACAGATTCAACCCAATCCCTAACTGATTCCCAGAGGGCATCTTTTTAGAAGTCAAAAGCTGATCCTAAAATTTATGTTAAAATTCAAGAGATCCATACAGTCACAATTCTTCTCAAAAAGGAAGGGTAAGTTGAAGGACTCAAACTTCTCAATTTCAAAACTTCCTATAGAACAACAGTATTCAAGTTAATGTATTCCTGGCATAAGAACAGGCATATAGTTCAATGGATTAGAATTAAGAGTCCAGAAATAAACTGTTATATCTATAGTAATTATTTTAAATTGGTGCCAAGATCATTCAAAGTGGAAAGAATAATCTTTTCAACACATGGTGCTGAGACAACTGGGTATCATCTATATGCAAAAGAATGAAGATGGTGCTCTACCTCACTCTATCTATAAAAATTACTTCTAAAAGATCAAAGACCTACATATAAGAACTAAAACTCACTGGGCGCTGTGACTCACACCTATAATCCCAGCACTTTGGGAGGCTGAGGCGGCTGAATCACCTGAGGTCAGGAGTTAGAGACCAGCCTGGCCAAAATGGTGAAACCCCATCTCTACTAAAAATACAAAAAATTAGCTGGGTGTGGTGGTAGGCACCTGTAATCCCAGCTACTTGGGAGGCTGAGGCAGGAGAATTGCTTGAACCCAGGAGGCGGAGGTGGCAGTGAGCAGAGATCCTGCCATTGCACTCTAGCCTGGGCAACAGAGCGAGATTCTGTTAAATAAAAAAAAACACCAACAACAACTAAAACTCTAGGTATATGTCTTTGTGACATTCCATTTAGCAATGGATTCTTGCCACATGCACACCAAAATCATATGAAACATGGAAAAAATAAATAAATTGGACTTTATCAAAAGGAAAACCTCTAGTGCGTAAAAGAAAATAAGAAGAAGGTAAAAAGGCATTTACAGACTGGAAGAAAACATTGGCAAATCATATATCTGATAAAGACTTGTATCTGGAATATATAAAGAATAAATATATTTATATTCTTCATATAGAGAGAATATATATTTATATTCTTTATATATTACAACTCAATAATAAAAAGAAAAAAAAAATAACAAATTTTAAAATGGGGCCAGGGCACTCACACCTGTAATCCCAGCACTTTGAGAGGCTGAGGCAGGCAGATCACCTGAGGTCAGGAGTTTGAGACCAGCCTGGCCAACATGGCAAAACCCCATCTCTACTAATAATACAAAAACTAGCCAGGTATGGTAGCAGACACCTGTAGTCCCAGCTACTCAGGAGGCTGAGGCAATAGAATCACTTGAACCTATGAGGTGAAGGTTGCGGTGAGCTGAGATCATGCCACTGCACTCCAGCCTGGTGATGACAGAATGAGACTCCATCTCAAAAATAAAAATAAAAATGGACAAAGGGTCTGAATTGACATTTCTCCAAAGAAAGTGTTAAAATGTCTATTAAGTACACAGGATAGTCATCAGGGAATGCAGATTAACAGAGCAATAAGATAGTACTTCACACCCAGTAAGGTGGCTAGAACGAAAATCCGACAATAACAAGCAATCATGGGAGGCCGAGATGAGTAGATTGCTTGAGCCCAGGAACTCAAGACCAGTCTAGGCAACAATGCAAAACCCTATCTCTACTAAAAACACAAAAATTAGC